AAAAAAAAAAAAAAACGCAAGTTATCATCTCGTATTTCTCTCTTCGCGCGCGCGCAAACTTTTACGAGAAAGAGAATAAATCAAAAACGTTACGAACACTTATTATCGCTTGATGCAGAGCGTTGCGGCTTTTGTCGTTAACGTTAGACCACAATTTGTCGGCACCGGCTGCCAACGCCGCGCACATCACGGGCAAATTGTGCGCCGCGGCCGCTTTGTAAAGCAACATCTCAGGATGCAGATTCTCTATGTCCTCCTCGTCGGTGAATTCCTCATCCTCGCCGGCCGTTGAATCTTGATCGGAACTCAATTCCAGATTGTCGTCTATAGCGAGTTTCGGTACGTCGCAGCCAAACATCAGCACGTCCACCAATTCCGTTTTTTCGTTGCAATTTTTATCCGATCCACAGTCTTTGCTTACGGAAGTAATTTTATTCTCTTCGTCTTTGGTGTTGCTAATTGAACCATCATCCAATTGACTGACCGAGAGCTTGTTCAATGTACTCGAATTTTGTTCGCTCGATGACGGATCGACATCTTGCGTAACTTCGAAGTTAGCAAGTTCGCTGTGAATCGCGACGTTCTTAACATTCAGATCGTTCTGCGAACGATTCAAAATCTTTCCGTAGAGAGTGGAATTGTTTTTTAAATCTACATTAGAGCTGTCGTCCGAGCTCACTGAATTTCTTTCCGTTTTCTTCGCTTTTCCAACCGAATTCAGACTATCGATCGACGTGTCCTTGCTGTCGTCCGAACTTGACAAATGATGGCCCTCCTTCACGGATAACAACGCCATCGATTTGGCCCGATTGTCGCTATCGATTTTATCACGACTGCGCGGTCTGCGTCGTAATTTACGCACGCTCCATTTTCGAAAACGCATCTGCTCCCGACTGGCATGATGCTCGATTGGCATCACGTCGGTCAGAAGTTTCACGAATTTTCGATCCACGTATTTCAATTTTATCCAAGTTTCCCGAACGTTTCTGAAAAAAAAAAAAAAAAGACAAAAGTCAATAAAAAAATTTTTATTGTCGCCACAAGTGAACGTGCGAGACAAGTCGATCGAATGTTTTGTATAATTCTTCTCAATTATTACCCGTTGCAGTTTGGTGTGGCTTTGATAATATCGGGAGTTACAGGCAGAGCTTCGTATATGCTATTCACCACGGAATTACCCAATTCCGCCATTACTTTCAGTATCTCCGGTTCCCAGTCGTCCAAAGTCAAAGAACGAACTTTGCTGTAGTGCACACCGAGACTTCTGTGTACGCCCGAACATGCTACGCAAATACCAAACCGTGTGTGACGCGTCATGTTGTATAACACATCGGTAGCAATAAATTTTGAAAAAAAAAAAAAAAAACTTACCTATGCAGAGCGTAATGCCTAAATTAATACTGGCCCACTTTGGATTATCGTGACCGCAATCGCAGCAAATGTCGTTACCTGAGATCTTTAACAATTGTTCCCACACTCTGAAATTTCGTGGATAATTTTTAAATAAAATTTATACAATATTTTTGACAAAGTCGAATCGGTTGCAACGTAAGAATCAACGAGATCTTACCTCGATCTTGGTTTCGTTATCGGCCTCACCAGACCCTTGTTATCACGGGATTGCAATTCGTGCGGATTAACGGTTGAGCTTATGCTCATACCTCTCTGAATCGCAGCACCAATAGCCTGCTGCATCGCGGTTACCCATGCTAAATATGTTTCCTCGCTGTCCGCTTGCAACATGTGACTTCTATACGAATTAAAGCAACATGTTACATTACAATTTAATTAAGCGGGTTATTAAAATTATTTTTAGACACTCGCGCACACTGTGTTGTGCGCAAAACAAAGAAATAAAAAATCTTACTTCGTCGGGCTTAAAACTTCGAAGCAGTTTCTCCGATCGCAATCGACCACAGGTTTTACGGTGCACAATCGTAGATCTTCCTCCATAATTGTGTAATCCTCGTCACCCGTTCGTTTCCGATAAACCAGTTGGTGATCCTTCAAGCAGAACCATCTTCTGTTCCAGGTCTTGAAAGCGTTGCTGGTTCTTTTAAACAAGTAACCTTCCATTCTGGGATTTCCAGGCACCGGGGAAGGAATCAGATCTCGATTGTTAACATAAAGATGACGATTTTCCATCTCCTTTTCAAGCTTATTCGAATCGCTTCTCATACTAACTAAATTCTCATCGAGATCTTTCAGAAACGGATCTAAATCTTGAGCGAGATCGCTACCCTGGTGGTAGTAAGTGATACACGCGTGCATGTAACTCAGCAACGTGCCTAATATCTCGTGTCGTTTGTGCGCTTGGAGCATCGTCAGCGTGTGAATATAATCCAACGCGGTGTGTCGAAAACACGATCGAGTGGCCGATAGGATGTTAGACGCCTCTTCGTATTCCGCAGGCCGGGTTTTTGGTACTTGCGAGTTCCTATTCAGCGCAATATCGAGATCTCCGGAAATTCGTTCAAAATAATGCCGCGACTCCTTCACCTTCTTGATGTCACTAAAAAAAAAAAAAAAAACAAAATTTGAAAGTGAGTGGAAAATAAATTTTATCACTTTGATGCGGACGGGACTTACGTCCACTGCGACTTACGTTTTAATAAAATTATTAAGATCTTTCATCACAGTCCTGGAAGCTTGTTCTAACAAAATACTATGATATTTGTTCATTTCTTGCAAAGCGTGAATAAGTTTGTTCAAATATGCCATTATTTCTGGATCATCGCTGAAGTAAGTAGATAACTCCCACAGACTATTAGTAAATTGGCTGGGGCAGAGAAGTAATATTATTAGTGTAACAATTTCTTCTTCATATGCACATTACATTTTCTATTAAATTGATCTAATTATTCTTTATTATTACAAAATGTTTTATATATTATTTTCAATCATTTTTCTTAAAATCTTTTAATATATTATATTTATTTTCATATTTTGACACGTTGTATAGTGCAATTATAATAAATAAATAGATCAAACTTACTTCTGCTGTATAACAAAGGCTTTTCCGGTATCAACAGTTAGATAGCAATTCTTTAATACCTGTGTGATCACAAAATAAAATCTCAGAGAATAAATTAAACAATATTGCCATGACAATATTTTAACACCTTAGGGTAAAGTTATTATATTTTAAAACTTCAACTGACAGCACAAATAAGACATACATATCGTTACAGTTTTTTTAATACCTTGTCCAACTTTTGTTCAAGTTGATCTATATTTTTCTCCGCCTCTTCAATGCAGGATCTACAACGTTAATATGTATTTTACATAAATGTGTGTATTTTTTTTACATATTTCATATGTGCTTTATATACAAAAATTTTATTTACGTACAGTACCCCGATATGGTTAAAAACAACGAAATATAAATTAAAAACGCAGTCAAGTAGTGGTATAAAAAATATATAGAATATATATATTAACAATCTGTTATTTTTTTTCCTTCATTGCAAAACGAGTAATTAATTGGGCTGCGGAGCCGCCCGAGAGAAAAGTCTTACCGAAATCTCGGTGTATCTCGTAAACACTCGTCGAATTCAATCAAAGGCTTCATTTTGTACTCTTCGTTTTTTTTCTCGGAATCTCTTCGAGTCCAAATTTCATTCAACTACAAGTCTCGAGACTACGCGCACGATATTTTCCATGAAACAACACGTCGATCGCCACTTTGACGTAATAAAAAAAAAATAATCACACGCGTTATAATATATATAAAACGCGTTCTGTCAAATGACTTGTGTCACGGAACAAGAAGATAAGCTAGATCCGTGAAAACGTGTAGTTTCAACACGAAGGTAAAAAGAGAGAGCATTGTCCAAAAAAAAAGCTCCCATAGAGATTAGGCCTGTTCTGACAATACAGTCGTAAGCTGTAAGTCGTAAGAAATTGACCAATCACAATCGATTATTCTTCTGTGATTTATCTGTGATTGGTCGATTTTTTTACGACTTACAGCTTGCGACTGTATTGTAGAACAGGCCTTATACTCATGGGTTACGTTCCAAAATCCTACCTTGATAACCAAAAACTATGGTACACGTGACGTAAAATATAGCATTTTAGTAACCAAGGTAGGATTTTGGAACGTAAACCATGGGGTGCGTTCAGACAACTCAACGGTTGAGAGATCATCGCTTATGATAGGACTATTCTTCAAAATCTGCTTTGGTTCCAAAAGTACGATCCAATCAGAAGTGATTATCTCTCAACCGTTGAGTTGTGCAACTGTTGAGTTGTCTGAACGCACCCACGGAGAGAGAGAGGCCCTGGGACCAGGGTTACGTTCCAAAATCCTACCTTGGTTATTAAAATGCTATATTTTACGTCACGTGTACTATAGTTTTTGGTTATCAAGGTAGGATTTTGGAACGTAACCCAGAGTTGCAAGATCGAGCAGAAAGCAACAAGAGATCGAAGCGGTGGGGACACGCCCACAAGCAAGAACTGCGATTCGTGTGCGCACACGGAGGGCGGTTCTCGCTTGTGCGCGTGTCCCCACCGCTTCGATCTCTCGTTGCTCTCTGCTCGATCTTGCAACTCTGCTTGCAACTCTGCCTGGGACCGCGAGGAGGATCGACAAAGAGAGATATATTTTTCTGTTTCAATTGTGAACACTTCTTATATACATAAGCTGCGTTCCAGAATTGCTGCCAGCACGCTGCCAGTGCTAAAATTTTATAATATACGTGACTTAAACTATAGATTTTTAGCGCTGGCAGTGAATTTTGAAACACAGCCCGTAAGTATAATACAATAGTAAAATACGTCGCGTATAATACGTGTACAACCCCGCGTATACGTGTATATAAGTTCCCAAGTGGTAGTGCAATAACGCTAGTAGAGTGTTGGCCGGCGACCGGTAGGCAACAGCATCCACGTTTATTTCCATATATAATTCGATTCGAGAAAAATGTAAGTACATAAAAACTGTATATTCTCTCATTTCCATACGTAGTATCCAAGTGCGTCTGATAATTTATGCGAACGCTGCAATATTGTGCTTTTCTCAAATATAACGAACGCATTTAGAAAACTCAACAGTTTGGTTTGGTGATCTTTTGGCTCGGTGGACCTGCGAAGCTGGTCCGTACGCCATTCCTTACGTCTTTTTGATAATAGGATTAAAATCCGTGGATTGGATTCTCCTGACGCCAAGGAATCCAATCGGAGTTGTATATTTGTTCAATTAACAGATAATAATAAAGAAAATGTAAAACACACACACATCGAAAATTGTTCAAAAATATTCGCTGATCCAACCGATCAGCGTGTATCCTTTGTACAGCCGGAGATGAACTTTAAAAAAAAACGGTTGCACAACAATCAAGGATGAGATCATTACTTGTCGTTTGACCTTTATTACAATTATTTTTGGACTCCCGAAAGATTTTCGAAAATAATCTCATCTTCAAAAGTAATAATCTCTCTGTGAACCACATCTGTGTTTTCAGAATCAATGCTAAACAATTTGTAGGTTTTATAAGCGATTTTGTGAGAGAAAATCTTCCAAAGAGCAACAGATAGAATCGTATATATACACATATATACGGTGTCTAAAACTTTTTGTGACAAAAGCGGAAGGGTGAAAGTAGGTTGGATCAAGAACTCGAAGTTATATACACTAGTTTGCAAAAATTACAATATTTATTAAGTTATTAATTAAAATGTAAGTCAATGAGCGTGGAAAGCGATGGACTGTGTAGCGCGTGGATAAACGTAAAACCATATAATTTTCAATTCAGATACATAGCTTATACTTCATACGATCTCTTAGCAACAAGAGGCGCAGGGCGGAGTAATACAGCGAGCGACATGGCACAGTTCGCGTTATCACAGCTGATATTGATTTGTTAATTGATATCGATTTTCAGAAAATTTATATGGTTTCGTACACGCCTATAGAGTTTGGATCATTGCTTTCCCTGTATTTGTTGGCTCGCATTAAATTAATAACAATTATTTTTTATTTTAATTAATTAATAACTTAAGTAAAAGGTATAATAAATTAAATAATTAAAAGGTATTTTTAAAAAAATCTGCAATATTTATTAAGTTAATATAATTATTTTAATTAAGTAGTTATATTAATTAATAATTATTATTGACTAAATTAATAACTAATTATTAACTTAGTAAGAGAGAGAGAGAGAAGAAAGTATTGTACTGATACTTTTTTTTTATTCAGATTGGTTCAAGTCTACCTTCAGACTTTGGCTTACGTTAAAAAAGCTTTATATGTACACAATCACACGTAGACGTGTGTAAAATTTTACATGTTATCAGATAATTAAATTTGCAAGTCACTGTCAGATCAAAAACCGGTAACCAGATGTAATAAATAGTAATAATGTAAAAAATAAAAAATAAAACTATAAAAAAAACTATAAAACTCTATAAAAGACCTATAAAGATAGAATTATAAAATAATAAAACTATAAAATAATAGAAATAATAAAAAACAAAGTAAATAAATACGTCGTATAGAGTTTTAATAAACATTTTTTAAATAACTTACCGGGAATGTATATCTACCTTGATAGGAAAACATTTATAAAATAATGCGACGAAATCTTGCACCAAAATTGTAATTTGCAATTAATTATATTATACAGATATATTTTAGGAAATAGATGTAAAAACATTGAAAATGCGTAACGACTTTTTTGCAATTTTTGACAAATATTATTTACAAAATTTTATTTCGACAAAAAACTGTTGCGTTATGGCGTATCATCTTGGTGCAATTATTGCGGGATTGTCGTTATTCGTGATGCCATTTTTGTGCAATATTTTCACACAATTTGCCTCTAAAAGTATATGTGTTATACAATAAACAATTAAGGATATGATCCGCAATTACTTAATGAATTGGTATGTTTTTGTCGTAGCATTATGCCTTCTTACAAGCTGACTTATTTTCCCGTCAAAGCGTTGGGCGAGCCCATACGCTTCCTGTTCAGTTATGGTGAAGAGGAATTCGTTGATGATCGCTTTGACCGAGAAGATTGGCCGAAAATCAAGCCAAGTGTGTACAAAAAAATTCTACGAACACATAGAATATTAACGCGATAATTAACGAGTTTTTTTATTTATATGCTTTAATGTTATTTATATTTGTACATACAGCTACGCCTTTTGGTCAAGTGCCAGTACTTGAAGTAGATGGAAAGAAGGTATGCCAATCTACCGCAATCAGTCGTTACTTGGGTAAGAAATACGGTCTTGCCGGAAAAGACGATTGGGAAGCTCTCGAGATTGATGTCACTGTTGATACCATACACGATATGCGTGCAAGTGAGTAACGCGTGTGTGTTTGTTCAGTGATTTTCCAAGAAAAGATATATTGGCCAGTCTTGAAAATTATATTTCTAAGTAATTGAATGAAATTGTATATCTCATAAGTTATCTTTTTGTCGTTATTAGAAATTGCAGCTTACAACTATGAGACCAACGCGGAGACTAAAGAAGAGAAATTAAAAGTGGCCAAGGAATTGGTGCCGTACTATCTGGAACGTTTGGATGCTCAGGTGAAGAAGAACGGCGGCTATTTTGTCGGCGGAAAACTAAGTTGGGCCGATCTTACTTTTGTCGCTCTTCTGGATTACTTGAACTACATGATGGGTCACGATATTATTGAAAAATATGATAATTTGAAACAGCTCAGACAAAAAGTTTTGGATTTACCCGCTATCAAGAAATGGGTCGAGAAACGTCCGCAAAGCGATATGTAATTTTATTGTCTTTTACCTTTTTGTTTTCAGAAAAAAAATTTTTTTATATCTTCTATATTTCTAATTAAAAGTTGCATCACAATAAAGTAATCATCGATTATTTTGACATGTAATCTGAATTGTGAATAAAAAACAGAGAAAAAGAAAAAACATCTATTTGTCGCAATTTTATTCATTAATAAGGAATATATAGATAGTTTGTAAGAATATTTACAGTTTTAAGAGAGTTCGAGAATAATTTATAAATAATATAAAATAAACACAAGAGTATATTTGATATTTTTTTGTTTTATTAAACTTAATAAAGATGAACTTACAGGACAATATTGATTATAATATTTGATTGCGGTGTGTGAATACCGACTTACAACTCTTGAGATTCGAATAGAAAAACTAGAGGACCAGCTTTATTGCGTAATTTTTAAATACTTTTTTATAAATATTGTAAAAAGTAATAGTTTTGATTTAGACTTATCTCACTGTCAGTACCAGTCTCTCTGAGTATATGTAACTTGGCGCAAGAGACGATGATACGTATTTCTCGTATTTTCTGATGATATCATGAGAAATGAAGTGGGGATATTGAGGCTGCGTTTCGCTGCCAGTATACACGTCACGTGTGCTATACATTTCCGGTACTGGCAATGAATATCAGAACGCAGCCTGAGATGTGGAAGAGAACTATAAAGTCGCATGCAATAACCAGATTATACACAATGCAAGATAGTGTTTTGCGTGGTTAGTGCGCAAAATCCTTTCCATCTTCTGCAAAGAATTTGTGACTCGAGAAAATGTAAGTAGAAAATATCTAAATACATATATTAAAATATCTAAAAATATATAAATATCTAAATATATATATATTAAAATATCAAAAAAATATATATATATATATATTATATTATATATATATATATATATTTTTTTTTTTTCTCTAGTTCTTCAGTATGTTCAGTTCTACAGCAAATCTGTTTGGCACAGATCCGTAAACGTTACAATTTTATTTCTTAATATATAGATGAATACCACACAAACTCCGTATACAATCGATAATTATACAATCTGTACAATTTATATATTTATTATTATTATTTCTTAAATTTTACAATGCGCTAATACTTTTGTACAAAACAACGGGTCTATGTACAAAAAATCTTTAAAGCAATATTGTCGATGTGGAAACTATTAGAAATCTGAGATATAAATCTGAAAAAATAAATCTATATTTGCTCAGAAAGAGCAAATATAAAGTTCTTTGTACATTTTATTTAATATAATGTTGTAAATTATTTTTTTAAGCACGCGTACTTATACGTCGAGTATCTGAGTCAATTGATAAAGATCGATCTTTCTCATAACTACAGTTACGTTATCAGGAGATAAAAAAAAAAGCACATTCACTTTGCAAAGTTGCGGAGTCGAGAAGCGGTATCAAATGTAAACGTTGCAGATTCGGTTGTATAATAACAACTAAACAATTTTCTTTCCTTTCTTTTTCTTTGTTAAAAATAAAATATAATAAAAAAAGAGTCGTAATTACTAAAAGTATAACAAATATACTACTAAATACAATTATAAAATAATAAATAGTAAAGAGTTCTCTAATATACAGGGTGTCCCATTTAAGTTGACACGGCAAAAATCTTGCGGAGACAAATGATTTAAAAAAAAAAATAAGTCGACACATATCTTCCAGTATTTTAAGCGCGGATTCAAGTGGCACTATTAGTTTTTTTACCGCGTGAGCGTTTTTTTTAAGGTCATTTCAAGGTCAACTTCTTTTTTCATATCGTAAATCCACATTTTTTATTTCGGAATCTTAATCTACAGAGAGAACAACGCAAGTGCCATTTGAATTACTCAAAATACTGGAAGATATGTGTGTCGGCTTATTTTTTTTTTTTTAAATCAGTCTACAAGATTTTTTTTGCTGTGTCACTTTTAATTGGGACACCTCCTGTAGATAATATTATCTGTGAAAGTTCACCAAGAGACGTGCAATGTTTCGATTGACGACACGCGATAATACGGCAATGAGTTGGTATGTAACGAACTGGTTCATATTTATTACAGCGTTATGCCGGTCTACAAGCTAACTTATTTCCCTAGCAAGGCATTAGCCGAGCCTATACGCTTTCTGTTCAGTTATGGTGGAGAGAAGTTCATTGATGATCGCTTTGACCGAGCAAATTGGCAGGCGATCAAACCGAGTACGTACATCTACAAAACATAAAGAAATACAGTCGAATCTCAAGAGAAGAGCTAAAATCTTTGAGTTGTGGAGGTTTCGAGTTATCGAAGTGCTCTCTTCCTTTCCGCGGAGCGGAAGGAAATGAACAAAATTTTCGTCGTTTCGTCCGTTTTAATTAATATTTATTTTAATACATGTACAAATTTTATGTAAACATTTTTTCCTATATTGTATAATATAAAATATATTTTATTCTGCTTTGCAAATGTTTGTTTTTTTTTTAAATAATTTAGTTTTATTCTTTTATTTATCAAATATTTAAAATTCTGTTTTTAGTTATCGAATATTTAAAAAAAGTTGAAAAACAATTTAATGTTATTTACAGCTCTGCCATTTGGTCAGGTGCCTGTACTTGAAGTAGACGGAAAGCTAGTATGGCAATCCGTTGCTATCTGTCGCTACTTGGCTACGAGATACGGTCTTGCCGGCAAAGATGATTGGGAATCTCTCGAAATCGATGTCGCTGTTGATACGATACACGACATGCGCGAAAGTCAGTAGCTTATTTTGTTTTATTCTTGTACTCGTTGTAATTGTTGTAATGATAAAATATCTTGATCAGCCTTGAAAGAACATTTTACAAATTTGTTTTGTTATTAGAAATAGCAGCTTATTTCTACGAGACTAACGCGGTCTCCAGAGAAGAAAAATTGAAAGTAGCCAAGGAATTGGTACCGTATTACCTGGAACGTTTGGATGATCAAGTGCAGAAAAATGGAGGCTACTTTGTCGGGGGAAAACTAAGCTGGGCCGATCTTACTTTTGTCGCTCTTTTGGATTACTTCAATCTTATGATGAACGATGAGGATATCATCGACAAATATGAGAATTTGAAACAACTTAAAGAGAAAGTTTTGGATTTACCCGCTATTAAAAAATGGATCGAGACACGTCCGCCAGATGTTTATTAATTTTTATTATAGAACGCAAAACACTTTTATATTTTACTGTATATTTACTGTAATGTTTTTATAACAATAAATTCAACAAACGCACATGTAACTACTATTTCTTGTTTTATATCGCGTCAGTGAGCCGCGCGGAGCGCTCACGCACACCAAATGCGTGGTTCACTGACGTGCGTTCGGCTAAAAGTCGGCGCTGATTGGCTTGATTTGTTCAATAATTACTCCTTTATATTATATGTAATAGAAAAAAATGGTTCAGAACTTTTCGACTTAGTTTTACTCCTTCTATTTGCCTGCGAGAGATTTTAAAGTAATTGTCGGACACCCTGTATATATATATTATATATTAATATATAATATATATATATATTAATATATATATATATATATT